AGGAAGGGCTGCAGGTTCTTTGAGCTCCGAGGTTGGATTGCTTGAGGGGACGTCATGTTGATGAAGCTGCAGTCGCTCCACAACGGGTGTCACAGCCGGGTGCTCCTACCATCCACTCCGCTTTGATCAGCGTTCACTCAACATGAAGTAACAAAGTGCATGCATGGGTTAACTGAAATGGTTCAAAGGGAAAACTTTCCTAGCAGTCGCAGTCCTCTGGGTCTGTAGGAGTAGGTTCACATGAAAGCATCAAGGTTCCATCCTCCTGGAATCATTGTTGATGATCACAAGCGGGGAAATCAACTCAACAAAAACCGCATACAAAAGTACCCCTACCAAAATCTCTCCCAACAATAGAAACACACCGCTCCTTTCTCGACAGCACGCCCAGAGACACAAGAAGCTCTTGAACTTGAGCATCCTGCATGGGTCTTGCAATTATAAAACGATGACATTCAAACGTCACATCCAAATTCTATATATGAATTCATGGTGTGCCCTCTAAATTTCAATGTTACCAGTGATTATCCCACTCGAAGTTGTAAATAGCCGTTCATCGCGCTAGAGTTGGAATTGACTAACCCACGTGTTTTGCAATGTTTTGCCTAAACCAGAAAAAATCCGATCCCTTCTCAAGTCCAAGTCCTTCGGCCAAGTCTTCACACCCTTTCTGTCGTTTCGGACTGTGCTTTTCAAGAGGTTTAGCAGGTAACGGATGTACCAGGCTTGGTCATTGCTTTGGGCATTGGTGATGCTCCGGTTGTAGATAGAGTACAGCTTTCGGACTTGTTCTGCAAGTGGGCCGATCGGAGGGAAATGTCCTTCTTGGCGTACCCACTGACAAACTACCATCAGCATCGGTGCATTTTCTTTGATGTTCCTCATGTTTTTGCCAACAGCAGTGTTTGTAAGCTTCTGCAATTTGGGATCATAGTGGCAGCAAAGGTTATACCCATCTCGCATCCTTTGTCTCACAGCCGGTGCGTCATCCCATGCAATTGCAAGGCGTCTTACATGGTCCGAAAGTATGTGTTTGGAAGGTTTCTCCTGCGGGAGGTCTCGGATTTCTGACATGTCCCCACGCGTCGGCATGAGCTAAGCACCAGGGGCTATTCAGGTTGAGAACTTTCAGGGACTCGGGCCGAAAAGGGGCACCTGACCGGCAGCCGCAGGTTGATCAATGACGGCAATGACTGCATGCCTGATCTCTGATCTAGTGTTTCACTCGAAAGATCTTAAAAAACCTTTGCACTTCCAATCAAGCAACCCTTGATCAGTGAAAGATGGTAAATAACACTGGATTCGGCCAGAACCTGGCCTGCAAGGCAGGCAGCCACCACGCCCGTGGCGGCAAAAAGTGGCAGCACATTTATCATGTACTGATGTCTTTACAAGTCTGTAAAGTCTACTGTGTAAGTTTCCATGATTCCATGATATTCCATGTGTTTTCACTTGTTTTGGAAGCTGCAATACACAGCTTGGAAAGTCAATGTGGAATTGACCGCAATGAAGCATCTTGATCAGCCATCGGCTGTGGGCGAAAAATGACTCCTCCGTCAGTGAACATGCACATGGATTACGGGTTCGAACGGGAGTTTACAGGTTCGAACGGCTTTTTACACCTTCGAATGGGATAATCACTGGTAACATTGAAATTTAGAGGGCACACTATGAATTCATATAGAATTTGGATGTGACGTTGGAATTTCATCGTCTTAGGTTTAGCAGGTAATAGATACATCATATTCCTCTAAGAAGGATCCCACAGAAGAGTGGTTGGACCAGAACAATGTGAGATAATGGAGGATGCAGCTGCCGAGATCATTCTCTACTTTAGACTCTAAAGACATGCCGCATGCCCGATCACTTCAGTCCCATTGGGTCTCTCATGAAGGTTCTCCAAGGTTCTCCAAGTGAAGTTACATGAAGTTACCCTACTTTTGAGCATTTGCTCTATCGCAACTCCCCAAAACAGATTGTCCAGTCCCGGGCTTGGAGAGCCTGCCATTCAGTCCGAAGAAGGAAATGGACCAAAGAAGGGCACGGCAACTGACTGCACCAGGTGAGTGGCCAAAGCCGTTGGGCATCACAGACCGGCGTCTAAGTTTGCCGGAAAAACTGGGATGGTACCAAATCCCAGTGCTGAACCGGAAAGCGGACGGCAGTCTACATGGGATCGTTCACTGGTGTGGTGGTCTGACCACCCCCCCCCTGGGTGGTGCCGGACCTGGGTGGCACGAACTGCAAGGCGTAATGAAGCAGCTGCACACCCACATTGGCCAAAAGCACGGTGCTCACCCTGAGATGGCCGGGAGTGAAGGTGGCGGAGGGCGGCGGATCCAACTCGGATTGGCATGTGACATGTAAAATGATGACGTATACATTCACCAGCAAAAACCACCAATAAATCCAAGCGATATTGGCTTACATGGATCGTTTGGGGGCGGAAGTTGCTTGTTGACTGGGAGAGGCCTAACGAGGCCAAGGAATGGCCGGCTTGCCATCGTTTTCCGTCCCGTGTCTTGACACAACGTCCGCCTTCTTGGTGACTAAAAGGATGAAAGTGCCTTAGTGCCTTGCTCATTTGCACCTACCACCCGACCAAGTAAGTCAACTGAAGGAGCACCAATGGCTCATTCCCGGCATGTGTTGAAAGTTATCGGATTCACTCCAATTCTTCAAGTTGTAAACTATAACTTTGCAAACCTATCTCTATATATATATATACACGCAAAACAGTGTTACTGTATGCGTTCCTACGACAATGCCTACGCAAATCTCCGCCCCCAAGCAGAACAGCCTACGCAGCATCAAAAGCACTTCGAGTTTTGTATGAACTCACCTTCAAAGCAAAACCACAAACATGTTCGTATGAGTAGGTCCTAGGTAGGGAAACCCTGAAGAAAAAAAAGCAAAGCTGTTGTTCGAGTTGCTGTTCCTGGAAGGGCAAGTTGCGCAAGACCCTGAGAGAGGTCACCTGAAGGGCCACAAGCCGAGTGACCATGCCGAAAGCTGCTAAAGCTAAAGCTGCGAAAGCTTCAGGCTTGGTGCTACCTTAGCCTTAGCCTATTCCCATGCATTGTATACCGATATTTTGCATCGCCGCGCCTGCCAGGTGACCTTGTCACCTTTGCTGACAGCTTTGGGTTTACCCTTGGCCTTTGGCACGGAGCGACGACCATTGCTCAGCCACTCCTCAGCGACTCTTCGTGCGACCGCCGACCGCAGAAATCCTAGCAACCTTAGAAACGGATTCCATCACACGATCAATGTACTTCATTTGCTGTCCTTTACGGATCCACATCACGTCTGTTGGGGTAGCCGTAGTTGGATCCATAGGCTGTGGTCAAAAGACAACATCCAAGTGGAGGCTAAATGAAGTGACCACATCACCAGCTTGTCTTTCACGGGGGAGTATGCTCATTAACCAGGTTCGCATGTCACAATTGACAATTGGGCAATCAATGGCACTCATTTACTGCAAATATATTTGTATCAATCTGGGGACTCCAGCCCATGCCGCACATGGCCTTCTGAAAAGAACAAGCATCAGCCTTAGGTGCACCACTGCCTTGCAAGACAAAGAGCACCAATGCCTAGCAGCGGGCCGAACGACAGAAGCGAAACGCCACCTCCAGGATGTCCAGGATGTATGAAAGACAATCACATGAAGCTAAAACGCGTTAAAGCACTGTTCACTCTCTCAACCATTGATATTGATATGCATGCACTTGTCTTTGATCGTTTTGCTTGCAGTGACCACTCAGTTCGTTGGGCGGCCTTCGGGTCGCTCTCAAGCGACAACCGACTGGCTGATTCAGCTGGCTAGTTGCCCAAGTTTCCGGTCAAGCCCGGGGGGAGTTGACAGGAGCTGTTTTTTGGGTTGGAAAGACCATCAGCGAAGAAGTTCTTGGAAAATAGCAACATCTAGGTGCAAAACACACACACTTGTCATATGTTGTCATTCTTTGAGCACCGAGTTCCTTACATAACAAGAACAGCTGTTGATCTTGAGAATTGATAGGACCTTGCAGGTGGTGCCAGATCTGTTGTCTGGGCCTTTCCAAGTCTTCCTTTCCATGTCTTTCCAAGATGAGTCACCGCAGGTCCAACTGCAGTCACCGCAGGTCCAACTGCAGTCACCACGGACCCCCATCGAGCCTCCCCGCGCTTGGGCACACGGCCCTGCTCGGTAATCCGCAGGTCGCCCCACCGAAGCCGCACCTGGGCGATTCTGGACGGGGGTCGCGCCCGAACCCACCTGCGGACAGCAGGAACCATTGGTATTTACACTCCGACTCACTAACATGGAAATGGACAACCTCCTGTTTGTAAAGGAAAGTAGTAGTCTTCCAAGGGGTCATTTTCCACTTCCATGTTAGTGAGTCAGAGAGTACGATGCGTTTGGTTCATATTACTGTGTGTCATAATGGTATTTTATACAAGTACGATGCTTTGGGCGTTCTTCCACCCAACGTCACTAGTATGTACGATGTTTTCGGCGACCATTGGTGTAGGAGTTCCAACGCAAAAAACAGATACAAACACGCAACTTGGCCAGCGTGAGCCCAAGATTGGCCAGCCCAAAACTGTTGTAGATGTGGCTGTGGGTGACCCAACCAGGATGCCTTGGTGGAGTTACCTGGGAAGTTTGGGGTTTACGGCCCCATATCTAAGGAAAAAAGGTGTCGAGTCTTTCTGCTTTTTGGGTTTTGGACCACCGTCCGTGGACATGACGACGGTATTGATTCAACTGAGGTGCTACCCGAGTCGTTTCCGGCAAAACATCTCGAAGACATCTTCATCCCCTCACCGAGCACCCATCACCTGCGCTCAACCAGAAGCGACACGTGTCGACCCGTTCTTAGACGCCCTCCATGGGGCATTCACCCAATGAATGTGTCCGTCGCTCTTCTTGGTGCTTGTAAAGTCCAGCAGTTGGAGTCGATCCACGAAAGGGCGGCCGGTCTCCTGGTCACATCGCACCGAACATCACGTGACTACTATACATCAAACAAATGCTACCGACCAGCAAACACCAACGAAAAACATCGAAAAAACACCAACATTATCCAACATGAGAAGTGCAACAACATGCTCGCTTGACTTTGGTTCGCTTTCCACTTTCTATACTGTGCTATTGTGCCATGTGCCCATTGCAGCATACTTGCATGTACAGTCAACTTTCACTCTGAGTATCAGAATCCTTTATGGACACATGGGCAGTGACAAAAATGGCAGCTATGCAACCATGTTGGCAACGACGAAAGCTCCATGCAATAGGCGTAGGCCACCATCTGCCGCCAGCCAGGAGGGAGTTCCTTCTCATTGAATCTTCGAGGAGAGCTTGGCCTGTGGTAAAGGTTGGGCTATGCAGGTGGATTTCACCAGGGACGAGCGCTCAAAGAAATCAGAAGTGAACCGACCGCAAATATCTCAATATCTCAATATTACTTATCAAAATATAAACTATATATATATATAACCTGGTTGAATCTGACGGGTGCTCACACACAGAACGCCTCTAAAGATTTTTTAAGGCTGTACAGTATCTGGTACCGCAAACGCCATCCACATGTGCCTGGGAACCTCAGCTTAGTTTGGAGACATCCTCAACGGTCCTCAACTGCAATCTTGCACAGAAACAACCTCTCACTCCATGTCTTGGCATATGCTTTGCACGTCTCGTCCAAGCACCCACTTTTGCATCCTTCCGAGACTTCCGAGTGCTCACCGCGGAAACAAACTACCGCAGTGCTCCGGGATCCACTTCGCGGACCGCCAAGAAGGCACACTCGAAGAACTTTACATGTGGACTTGGACATGGCCGGCCAGCGCGAGTGAGACCACCCTTGCGCAGTCAGAGGGGTCTCCCTGGAGGCCCTTCTGCAAAAAGCGAGGCAAGGTCGAGGAGCCCACGAAGTTGGCGGCAGCCCACTGCCGGCAGTTTTGGAGGTACAGTCGAGCCCCCGCAGCGACCAGCACTGCAGCGCATTCGTAGTGAGCGAACTGCAGGGCTGTCATCAAGGGGGTGCTGCCATGGCTGTGGTAGCAGAACGTAGAGAACATTAGAGAACTGCGTCTGCTGCCCAAACCGGTGCTTCATCTCCACTAGTGCAAAGATCATGCGCCCCGGCCGGGATAAGTCACAACGAACATCAAACTGGAAGTCCACGTCTGCCCTGAGCTCAATGAGATGATCCGCGATTTCAGCTGAGCAGGCGTGGCCCAAAGAGGCAGCTCACGGGGGCTGTGCACCTGAAACTGTAACAGTTGCTCCAGCACCTCCATATGGCCAAAGTTCGCCGCCCGTTGCTGCAGCGTTCGCCGCCCCACTCATGCCAAAGACGTTGCTTACCTTGACATCGCCCCCAGCTGCACAAAGCAAGCGGAGACCTTCCACGTTGTTCGACGTAGCGGCGAGGTGGATGGGGTGTTCGACTCCACCATTCAGTTCTGCTCGCAAGCTGATCAGCAGCTGGGCCGCATTGTTGTGCATATAGAGCCAAGTCCAGCGCTGAAACCCAAGGGGGAAAGCCAAGCGTCGGTTCAGCTTTGGTGGTCCGCCTGTTTGGATTGGCACGCTGCAGGGGCAGGCCATTGACCAGCTGTGTATTGCCGGACAATGCTGCATAGTGAAGGGGCAACCATCCTGCCCCATCCTTCTCTGTGATTCTTGCGAAACCCGTTTTGATAAAAGAAAGCTTCCACCAAGTCCTGGTCCTCAGTGGATGTGGGCAGAACGTCCTCAATGGGCTCAACCTGCAAATGACGCAGGTGGACGTTCTGTAGGTTCAAGTTCCTGCGGTACAGTAGGCCGGCAAATCCCCTGCCCTGAGACAAAGGGTGTTTGTGCTTGATGATGTCTCGCATCACAACTGCCAGCTTCGTGCGATCTTCCTCAATGGTAAACTCGCCTTCCCCAACTGTTCCAGGAACGAAGTCACTCACCACTTCCAGAAAATCTGAACTTTGCACCAAAATCCAGCTGTGATTGGCTGAGAGCTCACGCGCAGCTCTTTCTAGCCTGCACCAGCCTCGCCTGGTCCAGTTGTTCATTGCCAACCACCATCACCAAAACAAAAAAAAACGATTAGAAAAATAACAATGGGTTAAGTTATGTGGATGTCACCCATTCAACTTCCCCGCGGCAATCTAAAGACCATTGAACATCGAAACCTCCAGAGAAAAAATAACACCACTGAAAAGAGCACATTGACATCAAAATGGTCCCTACGTCGCCTGGCCCAACTGGCAGTGCTCAGAACCTGACCCTGAAAGGGGGAGTCCAGCGTCGGACACAAAGCAAAAAAGAAGCGACATCGGGCAATGTAGGCAGGGATGCTCTGGATGGCGTTGGACTGTTCGTTGTGCAACCCACTGATGCCTATGCTCTCCTCAAAGACAACGAGGTTCCCATCAGCCTGACACGTGCGAGGTGCTGCGCAAGGTCTTCACTTTACTGACAGAATCCCCGTTGCTACCAGATAGTGAGGTTCACAACCCCATTTTATCCCAAAATTGGTAATCTAAAATGACTGGTCACACATTGAATTTAACAAGTACACAAAGAACACAACTCTCTCGCAAAAGCCTGTTTTCCAATCTGGCCAAATTGACAAGTTTGCAAATAGATCCGTGCCAACCACTTTATTTAAGACCCATTTTAGATAACCCTCAAACAAAATGAGTCCAATAAAATGGGGCTTTCCGTGCTCGGCCACACCCATTTGAGCGGTCGCTGGTGGGGATCTGAAAGAGTGGCACTCCTAGACCAACGAGGCACAACTCCATCAACCTGCCTTGAGTTCTTCATGAGGGCGAATGGTGGTCATCTCGAGGAGGACTTCTGCAAACACTGTGTACATGGGGAACATCATGGTAAGAACCTCCGTTCGGCACTATCATGCTGTCACGGGGCTTGGGATGGCTTGGGCTTGGTGGTGCCTGGCAACAGTCTCAGAATCACAATGCAGGAGGAACAAACACGCCAGAACCTATGGAAAGCACACCCTTTTATTCTGTCTTCTTTTTTTTGGGGGGGGGGTTAGATTTGGTTGATTTATTTCCTGCGCTTGGCTCAGCATCGGTTGTCGGAGCCTTTGCACGGTGCGTTGCCCCGGACCCTAATTCATGGGATTCCCTCACCTCAACCACAGGTTTGAGGCCTGGCCACTGGGATGAAGTGCTTGTGATTCTCAGAATCCAAGTTCACAGCACACTTCTATCAATTTCAAGAGTTCTGTCATGTACTGTATGTTGTGTGCTCTCGTATGTATTTTGGCAGCATTTGGCTAAAGGCCTGCACATGGAGTTCTGGGAAAGCATCGGGCGGAGTTGGGTGTCAGAAGGCAAGTTGTGCAGCCTCAAGCATTTGGCTGGAGGTCTTGGATATGCAGCGACGGGGACGTCATAATATATCATGTAGATACTGTAGATGTATAGAGATGTTTGGAATCTAATTACTGTCATCTTGCAGAAATCCTGCAGATCCTGAAGGCTTCCACCTTGCAACAGAACCGAAGTGTTCTGTGTATGCCCGCAACCCACAGGACCCTTATTGGGTCATAACAGCCTCTTTTCTGGGTGGCCGACGGTCCCACAACAGGTTTACACATCGCACGTCCTTTGATTTGTTTCTTGCAGGAAAGTTGATTAAACAAAAAACAGGAATTCTTGATGCCCTGTTGCCCTGCTTGATTGAGTCTGCAGTTGAGATTGAGATTGCTGTGCTTCTCTCTTGATGCCATTTTGGTCTATAAATGAGTTAGTTCAGAGTGTTTCAAGGGCCATGCCGTGAGTGTTGAATAATGATGGATAATAAGGGTTCGGGGTTGGTTTTGCCCGAACTTGGTTGGCCTTGGTTAGCTCTGACTGGGACCAGTAAAGACATCGAGGATGGACATCCCCCATCCTTTCTATACTTTCTATACTTGCCATTGCTAATTTGCGTCTTGGATGCCAGGCCCAGTGGCTAGCAAACTCACTGAGAAAACCCAGCGAACAAAAGCATCCAAACTCCTAAACAACCTCGATCAACCATGTTGATTCATGTTGGCAAAGAACAAACCATGCATTTCCCTAGGGCTCCAAGTACCTTCTCAGAAGGCACGACTGGACCCTCCACAGCCACCCCAGTCCCACCTTCTGAGAAGGTACGACTGGATCCCTAGGGTTTGTTTGAGTATCCCAGACCCTCCATGTATGCCATATATGCTTACATTGGGGTGGTGTCAATGTAGGCATATATGGCATACATGGAGCGTCTGGGTATTGACTTAGGGAGGTTTGGGAAGCCCACCAGAAGCCCAGGGGCGTCATCAGCAGGCAAAGAGCTGGCGAGCAGCTGTAATGCAGTCGGTGGGTTGTTCGACACGCATCGCGGCATGGGCGAAGAAATGGAGACAACCCCCAAGCCTACACCCTGAGCAGCTGCATGGCCTCATGCTTGGAGGGTGGATGTCAACGAATGACGGATGCTAGACATACGGGAAGCACCTATATACGGGGCGGAATGGCCGGCTTTATACACTTTAGCAGCGAAAGGCGGTTTGAGGTTCCCCAGCCAAACCTCGAACTCGGGGCAGTGGGCGTCGAACACCTGGCTGCATCAGTTCGCACCAGGCTCGGTGGCCTGGCGGCACTCCACCTCTCAAAACTGCCCTCACACATGCCAAGAATGTCGGGCAATCTGCCATCCTCATCCATCTTCCCAAATTATTCAGTTCCACTCGCTGAGAATACCACATGAAACCGTGTGGCTTGCTTCACCACACCTCCATTCATAATTGCGCTGCATTTACTTACACTCCGGCTCACTAAGTATGGACATGGAAAAGCATGGAAAAGCCAAAAGCCAAAAGCCATGAAAAAGCAAACCTTGTCTTGCCTCTTTCTAAAAGGAAACGTCGTCTTCCCAGCTAATTACTAGTAACAAGGGTGTCGGCATCGCTACTAGTAGCTCCTGGCATTACTACTATAGAAACAAACAACTACTAGTAACAAGGGCATCGCCACTAGTAGCTCCTGGCATTACTACTACTATCATCTACTATCTAGTAACCAGAAGCTACTAGTCACAAGGGCATCGCTACGAACGAAGCAAGAAGCTACTACTATTCCACGTCAAATCTTCACCCGGAACCGCCTCCGCGGCGAGGCAGCGCCCCCCACACGGGCCGACGAGGCACCGCCCGCGACCGGCGACGTGGTGCCGCGCGGCCACTCGCCACGGGGTGAGGCTCCACGTGAGGGTGAAGCACCACGGGGAGGTGAAGCGGCACGAGCCTGGTGTTGGGAGGAGGAGGATCAAATTGGATTGGAACATGCTCCCGAGATTGCACAAAATGGACTTGATGACACTACTGGAAGATCTTGAAGCCATTTTGCGATACTTTCGGGCTTAGGCTGTATACAGGGCTGAGGGACCAACCACACAGCAAAACAAAGCATCCCACCACGTGTCGGCCACCCTTCCAGCTCATCATGGCGGCCTGAGCTGCAGAGCGCATGGACTGTGACAAGTTCGTGGAACGTAACGAGGAGCTCATGGTCGTGGCTGGTGGAGTTCCACGCCCCAAGCCGGTGTCCACCCTTGCAGGCGCCGCCTTCAACTCCTTCAACTCCTTCCACTCCTTGGACTCCTTCGATTCCTTTGGCTCCTTCCTCTCCGCAGAAGCGCTCCGCGACCGCGGAAGAACACCGCTCCGCCGCGCGGAGGACGCCGCCGCGGTCGCCGACCGCGTCTCGGGGCGGCTCTCGGGGCGACTCTCGGGGCGGCTCTCGGACCGGCTCGAGGTGGCGCGGCGGAGAGGCGCGGAGGTGCGCGGAGCTTCCCAGGGCGGCCGGGTGTAGGTCGTGCTCCGCCATGGAGGCTCTGGCTGGGGAGTGGAGCTACGACGAGAGACTCTGGAAGCTTCTGAGCTGGTCTTTGACCTTGCAAAAGAAGGCTCCACTGAATGATGCGGAAGTGGGCCATGGTATGTCATATCTGAAGCCCGGGGCCCGGGGCTGCTAATTTAGCAACGGAGCTCTACTAAGCCCTAACTTTGTCCAAAAAACCAGGATGCAATTGCATGACAAACCTTAAACAAGAATCTCACACCTCTTGCACTCCTAGTTTGCCAGCAAGCCCAACCAACTGTCAATGGACTGACTAGTTTAAGCAATAATCATGGAACACCTACTATAATCTACTATACATACTCTCCATTCCACCCATTCTGGGACGAAAAACCGGACCTGAACACCCCGCTTTTCCTCTGCAACCTCGCCGCATCAGCTTGGACCTTGCCGTCTGCGGTCGGCTGGAGGCCTCGAAGTCGCCCCGAAGCAGCGACTGGATCTGCGCCAGGCGATTCTGCTCCTCCATGGAGCGCAGCGTGGCCTCGTCCTAAAGCGGCCCCGAGCTGGACCAGCTTTCGGCGGTGAAGACACATGGGAAGCTGGGCTGGATTGATCAAACTTGTCAAAGACAGGCAATAATAAATCAACACAGTTTCACCGCAGAAATTGCACAATCCCCAATCCGTGGCAGTCACGTCGACCCTCGCCGACCCTCCCGGCCATTCTCGCCTGCAAACGGCGGTTCTCTGCTTCCAAGCTTAGAATCCGATGCTTAAGATCCGTGTGAGACTGGGCAAGCTTGGCCAAGGTTTCCTCAGTGAGTGTCTTAAAAGCATTCACCCATGTTCAACCCCACCTGGATGACTCAACTGTTCAATTGTCAACTATAGGACATGTATATATATATATAATTATATATACAGGGTATATATGCATATATATATATAGTATATGCGATGTAATGCACAGCTCAAGTCCCATCCATTCCTATCCTATCCTCCTCCATCCATTCCTCCCATCCACACTCCAACTCGTCCACATCGCCATACACACCAGGTATATCATAGATCGGCCCCCGAGTTGAAAACGGCCCAAAATTAGATGATCAATGATTCGGTCCCCCTTGGAGGGTCTCTTTTTGTCACCAGGTCACCGCATACAGCAAAGGGCTCAAGCCGGGTGCTTCCGGCGCCTCCTCTGGCGCCGAAGTGTGCTGCGGTGAGGCTGGCGAGGTGCTTGGAAGGTCATCCTCGGCCCGCGCGGCGTTCCAAGAAGTCCAATTGGGACTAGACCATGCATTGAGAGGCAAATTTTTCCTTACAGTTTTTTTTAATTGACATGCTTTTTGGGATGTTCATGTTGGGTCTACTCTTTTTTGGAAGATCTATCGGATCTGTCGCTTCATGCTGGCCACCAACTGTACCAAGCAAGTGGCTTTTATGCAAGTGCCGTAGAGATACAGATTTGGTCAGTATCCTAATGCATATGTGTTTTGAAGACCCCAATTTTGTCTCCCTCTCTCTCTCTCTCGTGTCTGGGAGTTAAAAGTTGTGGTCCAAGTTTTGCGTGTCTGATGAGGTGTCTGCTATGGCTTTTTCACCCCATTTAAGTTTGGGCTACGCTTCTTCAAAGCAAGACAAGCAAGTTCCATGTCTGGGGGCATGAACTCCGTGGACTCAGCTGCTCCCAAGCGTCGCAGCGGACATCAGGCTCCACGCTTCGCGGATTCGGCACGTTGGTCGTGGCAGTCCGCGGTCTCTCTGGGGTGGGCGGTAACAAGCTGGGCTCCGGACTGGCAGGCTCCTGGCGCAGTCCGCATCTCTCTCCCTCTCTCTCTCGCTCTTCTGTCTTGTCTCCCCCTCCCCAGTCTGACTCTCCAAACCATTGGTCCCAGCAGTTCAGAAAAGACCAATCTCTGAAGTTCTTGCTCAAATCTCACTCGCCTCATCTCGCCTCTACCCCTCTGCATGCCAGCGACCCTGTGAGTTTGGGTCCATGAAGCCATCGCCGGTGCCAATCCACCCCCTCCCTGGTCGTCACCCGTCCACCCCCCCATCTCCTCGTAGCGAATCCGCCGGTCTCCACGGTTCGAGTCGGGCGACCGAGCGGGAGAGGCTTCGAGCCCAGCTTCCACGTTCTTCAGTTCCTCTGTCTTGGCCTCGCCCGTGGGTCGAACGGACGACATGGCCACTGACAGGGTCAAGTGCTTGGTATCAATTACACCGCGTTGGTGCCTGAACAAGTGCTTGGTGGCAGGATGTTTGGGGGGTCGGTGGAGTGGACCATGTCTTTATGGATAAATGTCTGCCAAGCCATGGTTTTGAGTCGAGAATCCGAGTTGGGGACATGTGCACAGCCAAAATCTAAAGTGGACGATTCCGAAAGAATTGACCCCTGAATTCACAGGAGCATTGTGTGTGTAGTTGGCAGTCTGAAACACCAATCACTGGAAGACCATCGGAAACAACATGCATTAAATACATGATATATGGTCTTGGAGGAGCATAACCAAAAGGTCTCTGCCATTTCTGCAGGCTCCTTTTGATGCAGGTTTTCGCTCGGTGGCACACCCCGGAATCAAACCGCCTGAATCTGCTCAGAGAGGAGGTGCATACCTCCAAGCAGCATGAAGCACGGAAGCACCGCTCATCTCCAATAACTACATGATGTGCTATGTGCCGACTCAGCCATGTTTTGCCTGCTCTCTCTCTCTCTCTCTCTGTATCTGTAGCTGATGGTTCATGTTCAAGCGTCAAGCCTCCTAGCCCATCAGGCCCATCAGTAACTACCAAGACCTGCTGACAACCACGACAAAAATTGATCTATGCCGCCAGCCATCAATTTTGGGACTGTCAACAGGAGGTTGTTCATGGCTCTGCTGAAGCCTGCTAGCCCCACACACACACACACACTTCCTCTCGGTCTCTGCCTCTCTCTCTTCTCTCTTGTCTCCCCCTCGCCAGTCTGACTCTCCAAACCATTGGTCAACCAGCAGTTCAGAAAAGACTAATCTCTAAAGTTCTTGCTCAAATCTCACATCTCACTCGCCTCTACCCCTCAAGTCAATAAAGTCATCTCTAAAGTGATCTGAGTCCTGAAATGTCCTGAAACAACCTCCAGAACAGTCTAGGTACATCCCAAGTCTGTCCCAGGATTTTGGCTCACAATGTCATATATATGCTCATATTCACTTCATCCATTTCACCAGATTTCAACCAAACACAGGCTTCCAACGCTCGCTCACTTCTAAGCAAACAAAGTTGCGCTCCTGCGCCGCCCGTGCTCAGCTGCCCTCCTGCCTTTGGACAACAAAGAAAGCTTATCCTGAAGGTTCTCTGGGCTGGTTTTCGGTGCAGACTCGCAGCCCAAAGCTGAGAGGACCTGAACGGTGAGCTGTTGAGCTCGGCAGGTCGGTTGCAACAGCTCGGCATGTCGGTGCACCGCTGAACATCTTCCTGAAGGAGATCCCCACTGCAAAAGTGGGATAGAAACAAGGGTTAACTGTTAACTTGTGTTTCTTTAGTGGATTCCGTCCGGTCCAGGAAACCCGAACCTCCACTTGAGTTTCTATCGCTCCCTGATTTGCAAGAAACGAATCAGCCGGAAGTATTGGTTGCCAACAGCTCAGCCAATTGGTCTCCGACTGTTGCCAACTATCCCCAAGGATCCCCATACACTTGGGGATATTTGGGGGGTCAACCCTTCAGGTGGCGTTGTATCCTACAACAACTAACCTAACTCTTCCAAGCGAGCCCTGCGTGCGCCCTGCGTGCGCCCTGCATGCGCCCTTCGTGCCCTGCGCACGGGTCCCGCGCCTCATTGAACTTACCTTCTTCAAGCCCAGTTCTCTCCCCCATCAATGACCTGTGCATCGCCGGTGGAAGGTGGCCAGTCCGGGGTGTCCGGATGGTTCTGTCCGGAGTCCAACCAAAGACAGTCACTTGGACAGTAGATTATATGAGACAGCCAATGGACAATGGAACAACTCGTCTTATAAGTCATGTTCTCAAATGCTCTTGGGATGTAACTTTTCTGCTGACAAGTCGCGCACATATGTCCGCGCACATATATTATACGCAAGTCGGCATCGAAGAATCTAGATAGACCCACAAAGCGTCTGACTCATGCTAATAGATGATATCAAATGTATCATCAGAATATGACTTCTCGGTTTTTCATTTCTCATAACGAGGGTCTCGTGGGGAGCGTTAAATGGTCAGTCAGCTTCTGTGCAGCTCAAGGGCAAAGCTTCCTGCTCGATCATTTCAATGCATTGCCTCAGGCCGAGAAAAATTGCAGAACTTCACATCTGTTCAAGGGCAAATCCAGGTATCTGGAGCATCTAAGGCCTTGTAATGTAGACATATGTAGACCGACTGCTGGTTCATAATGCAACCCATATGGAGAGCTTTTACAATCCAAATAGGGGGTGGCATTCAACACTCCACCTAAGGCTGAACCAAAGCTAGACAGCTAGGCTTGTTTCCACTTGCAATATTGCTCACGGCGGTGATGTGTTTGAGGTACCATCCATTTCTGGGGAGTCCCCATCCCCATTCTTCACATACTTTCCGGACCACTTGACCAGCACCTTCAAAGGCGTCACCAGGCTGGAAGCCCCTACACTACTATCCGGATCTATCCGGGATCTCCAAACAGGACACCCTTTGAAGGTCCAGGTAGATGTTGTTCCCTTTGATCTTCTCTCCTTGTCCATCTGTTTCTGAGTCGATCGACCGTCCACATTGCCGGGCCGTCCAGCACATGAACATCACCGTCCATCCGAGGCGCTTGACCACGTCCAAATCGGTTTCCTCGGACACCATGGCGCCGCCTCGAGCAACGTCGACATGAAATTGGCGAACGAAAACAGGGTTCTGCATTGTGCATGTGAGATTGATTCCCTAAACAGCCACAACATGCCAGAGCTTGGATTTGACATGGCCTACCTTGTCCGTTATCTCAAATTGGTTGGGGGCGAGAGCGTCTTGGATACTGTAAACCATCCTAGCTGGCGGCGGCGCCCGCACGGTGATCTATTGTAAGGCGCATTGCTTGATCAAGCCTTGTCGAAGCTGAAATAACTGAGTGGATGGAATGGACACTTTTGAACTCCTAAGCCTCACAGTTGACCAACATCATTCATATCTGGCACCGCAGCGATGCATTGTGATGCCCTACTTTAAGTATACAGCTCAATCGTCAACGTTCAGTGACGCTGAGGGATTCTTGGTCAGCTAGCCATGCACTCCGACTCGCTACCAGCAACGTGGAACTATGGAACCATATGGAACGGTTTCTGGGACACAAAGCTCTTCCCAAGCGCAATCGTCGACTTCCGTCCTCCAGGCGCATGCTGTGGTTTTAAACTGCGTCAGTAGAGGAAGAGAGTCTTCACTTGCTCCCGGTCCCTCCATCTCCCACGACGGAGCCGCTGCCAGCCCGGAGGAACTCCCCCCTGCCTGCCTTCCCAGCTCGGACTTGAGCTCAACCGCTTGGGCCAAAGGACTCAGAAAAAGGAAGCAAACGGATCACCATCCTGAGGCCAAATGAACCTTGTTCCAACCCACCTGCCACATAGTCCTGAACTTCATCAGGTGAAGACTGAGACTGAAAAGGCCGAAACACTCGATGCAAGGCAGATTTACAGAATGGGGTGGTTTCAGGGGTCAATGTAGCAGCTGATTACCTGACATGGGGCCATGTGCATGTCTTACTGCTTGCATCGGTTTGCAGAATTCAGTGATTGAATACCACCTTGATCCGTGTTGTTCAATATGGCTGCCAACATCATGTCAAAACAACCTGGTCAAGCTGCACACTATTTCACAAAACCTGACATGCATGCATGAAATCACACATCTAAAATTAGAACCCCCATAATCTTGCACCCTTATTCATTACATTGCTGCCGCTGCTTTGGGGCCAATTCAATGTTTGAAGAGGAAAGATTGATTAACTATCTTCATGTGAACATTCCAACATGACGTGACATGCAGCCGTCTCCTAGAAACCCAGCTTGAGCGGCTTTGAACTCCAATATCCATCGTCTGGCCACAAGCTTCCATCAGCAACTTATACTATCACAAACAAAGCTCCATCAACAACTATCACTGACTGTGTGATGAACAATCCCCTTACCAGGATGGTTCTTCATCTCCCTATGTGGAGTTTTGATGAGTTTTGTTCATCAAAACCATCACAATATCATTATATAATGTCCATCAGCAAACAAGTGGGCATACCGTGCCATGGCTTACCACTCAGCGATCAGCTGCAGGAGTATTCTTCGGCCTCGCTGAAATTTTCGCAAAAGGAGAAGAACTCAAGCACCTGAGGAGAAGCTCGCCGAGGGCGACCGTGCAGCTGGCAAATCAAAGAAATGTTTAGGAACCAACATCATGCAGGGCCAATCAAATCTCAAGTGTTTGGATTCCCACTACTCAGACTGCTGCATAGTGTACAAAACGATCAAGTGCATGCTCTCCAAAGCTTGTGGCGTGTTGGCGTGCTGAGGTTCCATGCTCCCCGGTATCTCTGCAACGCAAGGAAATACCTCGCATGGTGCGACATGCGCACAGAAAGATTGGATTTGCGGATTCGTCAGTCTTCAAGTGCTGGCACAACAAAGGTCCTCGCAAACACTTTTTAAACGGACACCGCACCATAAAACAAATGTAGCAGTTCATCGGGAGTATGTCGATGTCCTGTGTGAAATCTTTTTTCCCACAAATGGTGTAGAAGCCTCTTGCATCCCTTCGGGGGTGCGCGATAGAACTGGGACCGCTGACTATCGATGCGCGAAGGAACAACAAACATGAACACTTGGCACTCGACCAGCGATGTTTATACACTTCGTGCCAAGCATCACATTTCCCAACAAACCGAGTTCCGAGAAGTTGGCGCTCTTATGACCATAGAAGGTTTTTTGAAGACGAAGAACAATGCATGTCCCCTTATAACCCTAAGCCTCTTCCGATCTCGACCCTCCGCCGAGGCCGTTCGGTAAGCGGACCTTTGCTCCCGGAAGAGGCGTGACCTCGACGGATTCGGCCAGCTCCCGTGGAGAGGGTGGCGATAGCAATGTGTTCCCTCAAAATCGACCGCTGAAAAACCACCCCAAACCAGCAGCCCTCAAACCCATGATAGAGGCTTTCACATACAAAAATAGTTATATAGAGAATATCAGGTTTGTGGAGCCCCTGGTATGGCTTTATCAGGCTTCGCGCCGCGCCGGCATGTGAAACTGTCTGCTTTGGACAAGCTGTGTTTGTGAAGGGTTCTCCAAACAGATTTACCGTGATTTACCTGTCAAAATCAAGGGTTTCTAATGGTTTTTACTCCATTGCAAGGGTGCTTGTGCTCGTCATTGAGTTTTAAGCAGTGCTGGGTTGCTTTGGGTTGCCTTCTTGCGACGTCCCTACTTCGATCCGCCGGTCTTTGGATTCTTTGGTTTTTGATTCGTGTGGTGCGACACCACTCGGGCTGCGAGACCTTTGGCGGCCTCGGAGGGTGGACTGGTGTGACACCCAGGTGCCGCGTGCACTGCGCCATCCCTCAAACTGTGAGTTTCCAACCTTTTGTGTTGCACTATCCTTTGAAGGCAGGTTGGAAACGTTTGAGGGTCCAACCTTCCTCGCTTTGCGCGCCGAGCTGCTCCTACTGTGGCCCAAAAGAGTTTGGAAAATGATCCAACACGAACACCTTCATCTGTTGCCATGGATGCTTTTGGGGGGCAAAGGGCCTTTGAGATTTGAGGCCTTCAAAAAAAGCAAGAGCTCGTCAACTCCAGCATCGACTCACCCCTAGTGAGCCCTGGCCAAACCCTGGAAACCGTTCCTTCTTCAGCTGAGCACAGGAAAGTCCAGCAGAAATGATGCTATCAAAGAATGCGCAGCAGGTACACTGTAGCTGCAGCTCATCCAAACATGACAGCCCAGAACACGTCCCTTGCTTATGGAAACGTCTCGTGGCAACGACTCTGCATGCCCCCTAAGGGGACAAGACCACATAAGACCACAAAGGAATATGGCAACTTCATTCATGCTGCCAGCGCCCCAAAAGGGACATCTAAACGAAGCTCTCATCCGGCGAACCCCGGCGCGGAGTCCGTTGGGGACTCGTTCGATCCCGGCCAGCAAGTTCCAAGAGGTCCCACCACATGTCACTTGTTGGTCTCCAACTTTTGGGGCGGAAAAAAACCACCCAGCGAAGGCATCAACACCTCTCTCTGCCACCATGCCAGTATGCTGGGGTGGGGCGGTGGAGAAGGTTAAGGGCTGGGACGTGAGAGGGAGGGTGTAACGGCCAGGCTTTGCGCGTCATGTTGGAAGAACTGGTTCATGCACTCCGGTACACAGCAGTCAAGGCCGAGACGTACCACGATCCCCCCGTGGTGAATACGCGTGGTACGATGTAAGGGCATGCAGGCAGATCCTCTGTTATGCCATATGGAGATGTACGTAAGATGTAACACAATCCTAGGTCTACGTTAGGGCCTTCTCAATACCATCCAACACCATTTTTGATGGCTCAGTGTAGGATCCAACGAATGCTGGTCTCCTTCCTGAGCTCTCCGCCCGGTCTCTTTCCGCTCGATGGCATGCTTCAACTGTGCGAAAGTCGGGCCAACTGTGCTGACAAACTTCACCAAATGGAGTTTGTTTGGATGAGGACCCCTCTCTGTGCATTAAAGTAAACAAAGACGAAGATCGAGTGAACTGTTTTCACAGTGGTCACAAACAGACTCACAGGACAGAACGTGTGGCTCCGTTCTGATCAAATCCCTCCATTGATCCTCAGAACAATCACATTTCAGGTGTCACACTCGTCCGCATCCAAGCACAAGGAGGGCCTTGTCATTCTCGGGCATGTCCTTGGCGTGCTAAGGACGCGTCAGAAATCTGAAAGTGGGACACCTCCCCCTTTCTTCAGGCATTCTTTACAGGTAAAACATGCAATCCGGGTCTCTGAAGGCAAGTCAACCGCTGCCGTTTTTTTTGTGGGGGGGCATGTCAAAACGCATGAGGCTTTTTGGGAATGCAGGGTCCAACTTGTGGCAATCTGCATAACAAGTACGGTTGATCAAACTAAACTAACCCAATGACTTGGGTTCGTCCACCGTTCTTGGCTTTTTCTTGAAGGAAAAGGCCGGGGCTCCTTTTGCTATGCCTACGTGTGACTAAAAGCAGCAAGTGCTAAATGCACGCTTGGTCTCAACGCACCATATGCAAGACTCGGTCTCGTTCGCTCTCGCTCGAGCGTGAACGCTCGAGTGGGCCACGCCGCATCTCGTCTTCCAACCGGCGCCCGGCGCTCGGCGTCATCGTTGATGGACCAAGCTTTTCGTCCATCCCCAAGGGCCCAATCAATCAGTCATGATGGTCCATGAGTCCAAGTGACTGATGCAAAGGACCATCACCAGTCCAATGGTGAATCAGTCATGGATGCCAATGGGCTCCCAGGTCGAGCTTTTTTTTGGGATCCGTCCCTTTGGGCATCAGGTGTTGACATATGAGTAGATGATAAATTGACAGTATATGTCAACAACCGATGCCCAAAGGGATCCACTGCAGTAATCATCAGCATGAAATCTCCATTGGCCAAGCATCGTAGGTGTTGCGAGGGTTCTGGAAACTGCTGAGCTCCACGGTGAAAATGGCCTGTTCGCCACGGCGCCGCGGCGCCGCGCAGACATCGGTCGAGGCGTGATGTAACGAGGAAAGAGGGCGCAGCGCTAAGGGTCGTCCGCACCTCCCCAGCGATCTCTGGACGTGGTGACTCAAGGATTGTTCAGGATCTTTCTAGCATGTTTTGGGGAAAACTCTGAGCCATAAAGGCCCAGCCCGCCATCCCAATCTTTAGGCCATCCTTCCTTAGGCCATGTGGATAGCTCCCCTCGAGGCTTGCTCCGGCACTTTGAGTGCCAAGCTTGGTCTCTTGGGACAAATTCACAATGATTTTTGGACCATGCATGAATGTCTAGGTGATCAAGTTATAAGCAGTCACTGGGGTACAATTACACGTGATCAATCTTCAGGTGGACTTGTGCGTTTTTGTAGTTCTCCAGGTTCACTGGTTCACTGACTCAACCATCAACAACCCCCTGAGTTTCTCGCTGTGGATAGGTCATCACCAGCATGCCCCGCCTCGGCCTCGGGAGCCGCCAGCTTTAAGGCAGGATCCACGCCTGAGCGGGGCCAGCGTGGCAGAAGCTTATTCCGTTGAGGTTTGGGAGAGCCACAAGAAGCCTCTTTGACATATGATTCATATAACTTAACTGCTCATCTACTGCAATTATATTTTAAAAGGTGCATTTACTACTTATCATATATAATAGTTATATAATCAATGTAATATGTGTATGCTGTGTATGTTTGATGCAGCGTGCTTCGATACTGTATACTTAGTCAACAGCATATTTCACCACAAGAATATGTAGATCAAATTTTGTGCTGACAATGGCCACCTACCTGAGAATTGCTTCAAACAATCTCCAAGATCTGCGAAT